GGTTCAAATTTTTTATAGTCTAATGCAGATATTAACGGTGGGAGTTTGTCGGCACGACTTGAGTGATACATTTGACTAGTCTGTTGGTCTGATTGGTGATCCTGACAGCTAAGGCAGAGGTAATGGGTTCGATCCCCACCCAGGACAAATAATACGAGCACGATCATTGTTGTAAATTATCTATTTCATGTATGTATAAATTTAGTAATATATGTGTGTTTATCAGCAGTCAGATTACCATAGTACAGGCTCTGCGTAGTGGGGGATTGGGGGTGTGTGAGACCTGGGAGGTTGGTATATTATAATGATTCATAAAAAAATATCTCCAAGTTTTCAGATACCATTTTAAATTATTGCCACACATACTGATAAATGTTAATTTAAATGATAGTTTATTATTTTAAGAGGCTTGGACGGGTCTCAATGGTCACCCATCCATAGCCTGACCAGGCTGGATTGCTGTTTTAAATTTCACAGAACATATTATTCCTACAATGTATGAATCGGATAATGTTATTTGTCCAACACAAAAGTACAAACGGAAATTCTTATACAAACGTGGTAGACCATCCAATTCCCGAACAGTCGGTAAATAAAATAAATGAACAATTAATTCAACATTATTACGTTCCACGTGTGGTTCTATTTGTTCGGCAGCTATGTTTGTGTTACGGCTTTTTAGTGGTTTAGCTTTCGCTGAGCCGATTGAGTAAACATACGTTTTATTTGTCGGGAAAAAATATTTCAGTAATTTCATAAAAAGGTTTTTGTTCGACTAAAAAAGGATGTTTTTTTTTTCATAGTACCTGTATAATTATCTGTACATTTAGATGTAGACTAATGGATAATAAAGTCAACATTTTAGTGTCCATTTTAACTGTATAATTTCTTTATAGGACTCGTAAGTATGCAAAGCAGTGATACGGTTCGCTTGGTGATAAACGTTTATGTATTTGAGTAAAAAATACATTACGTTTCTGTTGTTTATTAAGGTTGTAAAATTTTTGTGTGTTATTTTTCAAACCTAATCAATAACTTAACAACATCTTGACATTATTAGTCGGGTTGGATGAGCAACAGAAGTATAAGCAATACTGTACATGGAAATTGATTGATTTTAATAACGCTAATAGCCCAAATAGCTTTCCTACGTGCGACACCTTCCACATACCTGTCTCTTAACAAACTAAAACTGTACTATACTACGGTAACCAGACTGCTGATAAAAAAAAATGTTACACCAAGACAATGGAAGACTGCACGGATGGCGTAGTGGTTTAAGCGGTCGCCACGCCGCTTCCTACTACGCCGAGTGTTGTGGGTTCAAACCCCACATGGGACGACACTTTGTGTGATCCACAAATTGTTGTTCTGAGTCTGGGTGTTCTTTGTGTCCGTTTCATATATGTCCCCCGCGACACAGGATATTTTCCAAATGCGGGAGTTGTCTTTAAAAAAAAAAACCTGCTCATCGTACTATTTTTTATTTTTTATTTATTTTACATATAACAAATTAATTTACAATTTTTGATCATAATATTGCATTTGAAAATCACTGAGGCTTTGTAAAAACGCAACAGATGCTACATCAAGCGAGGTTGATAAAAATTAACATCATACAGTAAAAATACATGCGTCGTTATTGTTTGGACTGAGTAAAAATACTCAAGAGCTTAGCTTAGCAGTCAAACTCACTAGTCAGTAGATCAACAGAACAGTAAAAAACAGGGTAAGTACATAGAAACGCTTCTTAAGTATTTGGTGATACGCTTACCTCAATAATTACATCACATGATTTTTGTTTTCAATCCAGTAAACGGTGGATTTCCTCTCTTTATCTCTTGTTGTTAGTTCCTGTATAGACGTTTCTTATTTCTAGAGTAGTGAATTATAAGGACTGCTTTGCGAGGTCTTGTGATCAACTGTAGGTTCCTTCTAGGGTCCTCCCAGAGTAGGGCACCTGAGGACGGCCGTCGAGATGGTTTTCAGTGAGATCACCACATAGTCCTGGCTCCTGAGTCCCCAAGGAGCAGGAGATCCTAAGGGATTTGCCACACCGTCAATAAAAAAAGAAGGTTGATACTGATCGCATTATTGGGATATAATACTATTGAATATTCATTGCCTAAATGTTTATTTTGCTTAAATGTTTGTATAACAAAGTAGTTGTAGTTTATAACACAATATTTTTCTACTTGAATGTTTCGTTTCAATAACTTTGGATTAAATTATACATTATGAGTATTATATCATATTTACTGACTCTGTCACCTCCACTTCTAAAATAATTCAGTGAATAGTGTAATATATAATTTACAATGAACAAAGTATAAATATCAACCAGGGCTATGAACATCACAAATGTTACTACTGTTTTGGCATTTTACCAAAATCCAGTTCGACCTTAAATCTCATGTAACTGCCTTCATTACATTAATATGTCCGACAGAAATGTATGTCAATTTCACTATATACTGACTGCTAATCGTTTTACTTCCATTAGGGTTTCCTAGATAAATGAACGCGGGAGTTTATTATACAAACGACTTCACTAAGATATCCGATTGCGTGAGGTTACCGGAGTTCAAAACTCCCCGAGGATTCTGTCGGGAGAGGGGCGAACTCTAAAGGCCGTAATGCATTTGTGACTATTGAGTTCCATCAGGTGACCCGTCTGCTCTTTCCAGCTTCATCAAATAAAACAAAGGTATCTTAGTAAGGATAAAGAAAAATAAAAGAATGTTACAATTCCAAAATTTATATTTTACAACAGAAACTGTCAATACAATTATTATTTTACATTTAAGTTATAAATTTACAAGTTTATTATAATGGCGTGGTGTAGGCTTACAAACACTGTTCCTTTTTCAACTCGGGTGAAACAAATATTTTAATTACCTCAAGGGTTTCTATGATAAATGGATGTACAGCAACTGTTGAACGTAATTTCCTCAAGACAGGAAACGTTGAATATTTTTCTGAACTTGGAAGGGTTCCGGATCGTTCATTATACAACGTGCCAAATCATGCTTTGAAATATTAAAGGGTGACATCAAAACTGAAGACAAAAATATTAATGACTTTGTCGTTATTTTGTGAGAAAGATTAATTAAAAAGACGTAAATTTGACGGGGGTCTTTATTAAACAATTATTTATATATTTAGATCACCTAGCATGGCCCATATCGGTACTGAGTGATGTAATTATTCACGGGAGCCGGTAGGTATCTTATGTACCTGTTTGTTATAAACTGTATGTCACTTATTAATACTACCTTAAGTAACAATTTTATTTAGTTTACGACATGGATTAACATTTATTTTTAATTGACTGCCATTTTTTTTACAAACACATTATTTATAAAATAACTGAGCGGAACAAATTTATATTAGCGTATTAAAGTCCCAAATTACTGTCATTCAACTAGTTCATGTTTTTATGCTTAATACTAGTGCTCTGCAGAATGTGTTTTATATACTATGGTATTCTATAAATAAAATTTAAATATAGGTAGACAATAATTTTTGATATCATAAGATAAATGATAAATCATAATAATAAATACTCTTCGTTGTACACACAAAATTTATTTAAAAGAAACGATATTAGAAACACTTTACAGACACTGATCTTTTGTCAGTCTACATACATTTGTATGATTCAAGTATTTTAAGAACAACAATAAAAACAAAACAGTATTTATGTATTCCAAAAAATAACCTGAAAGATTTAAGTAATAAGAGAATGTTGCCATAGTAACAATTTTCAGCCATTATCTCAAATGTATTCACTTGAATCTCTGATAAACCCGAAACCTAACATAATATTATATTAGAAAATCCAATTGGCCCTTCAAACTGTTCTATTTGTTATACCACTTACTACAATATTGATTTCCACTTCGCCTGCCAAAGTTACCTGCCGCTGTTCGCCTTTTGCAAAATTAATTTTGAAATCATTGAAGCCCGCTGAATATTAATGAACCACTTTCGGTATAAATTAAAATATATTTAAAGGATTGTTGATACCGATATATTTAAGTAAATTATAGAAAAGTCAAGGCATATTATATTTTACATATGAAATCACCATCAATTGAAAAGAAGAGAGGTCTGTAATAATCTAAAACAAAACATACAATATGATCTAGGAATTCGGTCTTTATGTAAGTTTTACTGATCTGTAAAAAAAATTATAACTATCACACACAGTTTTGTGCGCTGGAGTTGTTATTCTAGTTGCAGAAATGACTAAATTCTTACAGACTTGACGACGGAGGACGGGCTTCATATCATCTACCAGTCATCCTAAAATATCAGCGAGTCATAGACTTGGGTACGACGCAAAATATATACCTACTCCACATACTTTTGGTGTGATCTTTTGAGCTTTGTGACCCGATGCCGTGATTTCTGAAATACTGTAACATTATAATGTAAACCTGTGACACGTTTATAGCTGATAATATTTAGAAGTGCTATTATAATTTTCACATAGATTTGTTATCTACATTCTGCTTTAATATTATATTACTGACTTACCTAACAATTATTTATAACGTCACCTATGATATGACTATCCTTGTGCAAAATTATTTACAGCAAGCTAACTATTTAATCCTAAAACACATAATATATACATTTAAACAACTTACAATTGTGATCAACAGTCGTTGTATAGTTAAATATTACAATTATAGTTCAAAACTATTTGTTGTATAACAGTTCCTTATTAGGTAAACAATTTTGAAGTTCAGAAACTGCTTGCTTAATAGGAATATAGTTCAACAAGTTGCTAAACTTGATGTAGAACATGTCAAATGTAGTGTGAACAAAGCCATGTTAACAACCTTTATTTTTCACTGTAGCACAGTTCTAGGTCACGCAAGGAGCACTATTACGGAGGCTAACAGAGTCCACTGGTGAAGGTATACGGTGGACGCAATGTCATGTAGTGGTGGCCACCCATCACTCCAGGGACCTCGCCCTCCGGCCTCCGGTCACATCGTCGTCACCATTTCTGTGAGAGAAAATTATTTACAGTGCGTGCTGGTAAATTATAAATTATTTTTCTTTGCTTTTCTGTTACTCTATATTTTAGTATGTTTAATTTAAATTGGGATGATATTACATTGGAGACCACTATAAATTACATCTATACAAAAAAATAAAATTGATGTGCCGGTTGGGAATGTCAAAATAATAGGTTTTTTTTATGCTTACACGGTTATTTGCACGATACCTATGTTGTTGTTAATTTGCCTAAAAACCAGTTTAATTATTTTTTGTCTCTCTGTCTGACGGTCTTTTTTATCGACTTCGATAATATTTTACGTCGTGGTAGCTATCTAAGGAGTAACTTAGGCTATTTTTCCTATCAGAAAACATCAGGGGGGTATCGAACCCGAGGCCTCATGGACTGCAGTCGCGTACCGTATAAAACCACTAAGGCAGGACTTTTCAAATTCTTAAAAGAGTTAAGGCTGGAAATTATTCCCCAGGATTTAAAGGGAACCTACCAATATTCGATAAATTTAATAATTTTTGGCATAATCCTAACATTCACGTCCTTTCCAATCTCTTCTGATCTTCGCTGGCTCTTGGCTGATTACTCTATGTAATAGAAACGGCTACGCAGCTTTTCTTTAATTGCCCTATGGTGTGACCCAAATTTTGTTCCATTCTCTCTCTAAAACACCATTTCAATAGCAGAGTGCAGAAGAGACCTTGAGAGAAGAATGTACGTTTAGTGAAGCTTGATTTACTTAGTGAAGTGAGTTGCTTGAAGTGGGAAATGGACTTTTTTTTAAATTCCCTTCGGATCTCCGGCTCCTTAGGGATGTAGGAACCAGGACTATGTTTTGTTGCCACTAAACAACACCCCCACCATGTTATTTCAGGTAACCCCCCGGATCGACGCCGCGCCTAGTAAAGCCCTATGCCGGGGAAGCTGCGGTCTTCCCGTCGTATTGCGGTCTTTCTTGCGACCATGCCTCCTGCCTATCACCTACCGCAGAGGTTAAAGGGAAATTAACTACAATGGACTTTAGACATAAAATGAAATTGTGAATTACTTTACGCTTAGGTATGCAAATAAAAATCGCACCTAACACGAGTCAAATGATTAAGTATTCATGTTACCACCGAAAAATACCGATATAGCAAATAATTTATCGTGTAACGGAACTTCCAACAAATTTTTGCTGTCACTCAACTTAGCTTTCTAACTAAGTAAAAAGTTCTACATCATCAAAGTAATACCAAAAAACTTAGTTTACAAAGTATACATAATATTATAAACTTATTTATTTGCAAATTAATAACGGTTCATTTTGAAATTATGGCGAGGGTTATCAACAAAAATACTATAAAGGACAACTGATTTTTATTATAAAATATTTAGTATCTATATAAAAAAAACAAATACATATTTAATTTAAACTAGGCATTTCTAAAGTTCCTGTAAATCATACCGCTATAGTTTTATTTATTATTTATAAAAAAATCCTTTAGCTGAATAACATGATTTTGAGAATATTTCTGTTCATTTTATTGAATGTCACAAACTACATGATAGGTAAATTCTTAGGAGTATGACATTCAAAATTTTGTATATTCTACACGTTATATCTACGAGTATTTGTTTTGTTCTTATTAACATATATATTTTTTAATTAAATTAGGATTTTAAGTATATACTAAATGTATTAGAAATGCGATAGTAAAAAGAGTGTCAACGTACTAAAACAATACTTTCAAGAAGTAACTTTAAATAAAAAGTATAATTAGAAGGTTTTTTTCATGCCATTTGATATGACGCCTGTATATTATATACCACTGCGCCTAATAAAATAAAAGGTAAAACATGCTTATATCTTGAGCCTGATTTATCTTTTGTAAACTCTATCTCAACTTCAAGTAAAGTAAGTACTTAATTTAATCCATGGGACGTGATAACTTACGCGTCATACTCTCAACCCTTGAAAACATGTTCAAAATATTATTCAAGAGAAAACACAGAAAAGTCTGCATTCAAACTAAGAATATCCATAAGGAAACTTGTTATAAACAACTTTGGTCTACGAGATTCATTAATAAATTGAATATGCGTATGAATGCTCTGCTTCTGCACAGCTTCTCCTGGTGTAAGTACTAATACCTTTCGTACGCGACTGCAGTCCGTGAGGCCTCGGGTTCGATACCCGGACCAGTCAAAATTTAATATGGGTTTTAATAGCCTAAGTTACTCCTTATATAGAAAGCTACCTGGAAGTAAAATATTATCAAAGTCCGTCCAGCCGTTATGAAGATTACCCGGAAAAAACATACAGACACAAATAAAAAATATTTAAACTGGTTATTAGGTAAATTAACAACGGTTCACTTTGAAATCAATGCAAAAAAAACTATAACAATTCAAATAAACCATTATTTTGAAATCATAAATAGACACTTCCAATTTTATTTACTTAAATCTTATCAGTATGTGATGATATCACTCAAATTGAAAAAAAAATAAGAAGTCTTCATTTACAAAATAACTAAAATCTTTTTAAAACTAAGTGCTAATTAGAGCGCAGAATTCACCTGAGGGAGTGTACATATGTATGTATTAGTAAATTTGCACACACCTATACTAAGATGGCGTCACATTAGACAACAGCCTACTAACTAAAACTGTTCATTTATGATAATGTTTGATGCTGATTCTACAAAACACTTTGAATTATTTTTGTAAAGAACAATCAAAACCTTTGCTTTTATTTGTTTTAATTCTTAATTTATAAAAGCTTCAAATATAAAGTGTAGATATAACTGAAACTTACAAAACGTATGGGTATAATAATGTGTTTTATAACACGAAATAATGTTAAACAAAATTTTGTTTTTATTTTGTTTTGTCTTTGTCAATTCAACCACAAAATGACTGCACGGATGACGTAGTAGTTTAAGCGGTCGCCACGCCGCTTACTACTACGCTGAGTGTTGTGGGTCCGATCCCCACATGGGACGACACTTTGTAATCCACAAATTGTCGTTCTGAGCCTGGGTGTTCTTTGTGTCCGTTTCATGTATGTTTGTAAAGTCCCCCGCGACACAGGATTAATTCCTAATGCAGGAGTTGTTTAAAAAAAAACATTTCACCTCGTAGAACATAGCCGTTTCTAAATTAGATTTAAAACAATATTAAACTATAACCAACATATGATACTTACCTAAATTCTGCATTTGATGTTGACTGAGCACAATGTATGGGTTGTCAAGAGCGGAGTCTTCGAGCACTCCGCGATGTAATTGCTCCAAATGCCTCTCCGGATCATCTACAAACGATTCAGAGTGTGAAACAAAAGCTTACGCATTAGTTATTGCCACTGATTCGGGTTGGGGGGGGGGGACCCTAAATAGAATTACCGGACGTAAATGCACACACAATGCGACTATTACTTTTTCCAAAATTTAGACCACTTTTTAGTGGGCAAAAAATTCAATTCCCGAGAGGCAGTACAAAATGCCTTTGAAGAGTTTGTGATAAACTGCCAATGCGTTGGCAAAGATGCGTCGATTGCATGGGTGATTACTTAGAATAACAGAAATAAAAAAGTTTGAAAAAATAAATACTTTCACTTATTGCATACAAAACGGCAATTTCATAGGTAAAGACCTATTATTACAGTTATATTCAAGTGTACAAAGCTGTGCCTGTTAAATAATTTTGCCAATACAGATCACATCAACATCCGTTTGATAAATAAACGAAGCTTATAAAAAGATGAGTTTCAAAAAATACTTATAACATTATATTTATATTCAAAGTATTATCCAGACAAACACTTATCTATAACAGTCTCAAGTGGGATCAAAAGATTAGCAAGACCTCTTAGTCATCAGATATTGTTGACTCACTCTTAACAATTCTAAAGTGCTTACAATTACAAATAAACAGACTCAATTTTATTATAAACGTTGTCCGTTAGATTCTTGTCTGCAATTTTGTTATAATTTCAGTCTTCTATTTTAGAGGTTTTCAAATGTGTATTTATAATTAATTAGTATTCGAAGCTTATGGCTTTTGTTTCTTTTCGTCAATATAGTTTTTCATTGTTTACGCTATATATACATATTATAGATAAATTACACCGTGAATAAGTGTTGAGTATTCATCACACAATATTTTTCCTGGATGCGAATCGAACCCACGACCTCCGCTTTAGCAGTCAGGGTCACTAACCACTAGACCAACAGGCCCGTCAAATTTTTTTGTTGTTTTAAGTTTTTTTTTTTCAAGTAGTTAATAGAAGCTATCGGGAATGGTGGCCTAAAATATGATTTCTTTCAATGTCTTTTCCTATTGTAAAGTCAGAGCTACAACATCTCTTAAACTACTGAGAGCTTTGTGACCAAAATTTTTCGAAGCAGAAGGAAGAAAAAGAAAATAACCTTTTCATAAAAAGGCAGTATTAAAGTAATTTGAACTAAAATGAAAATCCACATTTTATTTTGCATTCCATAAAGGAAATTAAAGAATTAATTGTCACAAATAACTTCCCATACTTACATGGCAATAGTGTTGTTGTTGATGGAACAGGCGTTGTTGTTGTACTTGTTGTCGTAGTTGTTGTTGTTGTAGTAGTTGTCGTTGTTGTCGTTGTTAGCACTGTTTTATAAAAAAACATGTAAAAACATCCATAATATAATAAAAATTTACCAATCAATGTTTTTGGGTGAATTGACTGTAGTTAGATTTTACATTATTCAGATGACGAAAAATAGGTTCGTTAGTAAAAACTAAAAGAGTATGAAGTGAAATTTTTAAAACTTTGGTGATTAGTTCCTATTTCCTAATTAGGTGCATTAATAAATTGTAGTGGTATATAATACGAAGTCCCTGTCTTAGGTGCTTCTCCAAGTCTCTTCAACTACTGCAGTCGCAGACCTGATTCCCAATCCTAGTCTTCCGATACTCCCTACCCTAGCTTCGACGCTTCTTCCATTGTACCGCCTGTTAAATCGATTACATTTCTAAGGACTCTAATTAAAAACGGGAATTAAATGTTGATGGTAGAATAGATATGTCACACTCTTTGACTTTTCACCAGGATCTTTGGTATTTGGCGGAGTGGAAAAGTGGAATCTAACTGCATCCTTCAAGTATTCCATAATTAAGAAACATTGAATTTTATCTATGACGCGTATGACCGCTTACTATGTAAAAACAATTCGGCCTGGGCTCTCCCCTGCGTGTTCTCGACGTGGCAACGATAAGCCCCCGCGTCTTCTCTTGACATGTCTGTGACCATCAAGTTGAGTGTGTGGCGATAACCTCTCGTTGTGATGCTTAAACGGTGCTTTGTACCTGACAACAAAATGATAGTTTAGGAATTTATTTAATTACTAGCTGCTCCCCGCGGTGTCACGCGCGGTTTGTCATTCCACGCTCATCCCACGGGAACATTATATGTTTTCGGGATAACAAGCGACCAATGTGTTAATCCAGGGTGTTAGCTACCCTCATACTTTCTCAAAATTAGTCAAATATTTTTTGTTTATTATTACTATTAACGTAGGTAGTGTAGGACGCCCACAGACCAGGCGGAGTGACGATTTCCGCAAGATGGCTGGCAGGAGATGGATGCGAGAAGCCCAAAATCGATCTAAGTAGCGTGCAATGGGAGAGGCCTATGTCCAGCAGTGGACTGCGATAGGCTGATGATGATGATGATACCTATTACCGAATACTCATTGTTGATTTGGTTCTATTTGAAAGACTTCATTATTTCATGCTATAGTAGTATAGTAGTGGAAAATAATAGCATTTTCAGAGATTAGATAAACATTTCATATTTTATAGAACAGAAACCTGTTATTTAGATTTTTAGATATAAGAATCATTTTTTTATGTTTAAAGAGATGAGAGAAAACGAGTAAAAATATTTGAATAATTAGGCGTCTCTTAACTGATTAATTACCGCTGAGTAAATAACATAAAATTTATTGCTTACCGCTTCAAAGGCATCACAGAAACAAGTTTCAAATTAAAGAAGTGAAACAGACATAGGTAATCGTAACTTCAAAGAATAACAGCTGAAGTCTTAAGGAGAGTGGAAAATGTATTTTTTATTGTAATCTGGTGACATGCAAATATGGCAAAAACATAGTTCAGTTACGTGTAGTGAAATAATAAACAGGAATGTCTGTCGCCAGGCAACAGTTTTATGAGATAGCCTTGAACGATCATGTGAATATATTAGACTACTGAATCACAGCGTGGGGGCTGCACGCTTCTAAAACCTTTAGTATAGTAGCACACGCACGTGTACACACACACACACACAAATGAACACGCAACGATATACGCATCAACATCTGCCTACCCTTTTCCCAATTTTATTTGGGGTCGGCGCAGTATGTACAATTTTTCCATTCTACTCTGTCATGCGTCATCTCACTGTTTACTCCTTTCCTAGCCATATCCTCCCTCACGCAGTCCATCCACCTTTTCTTCGACCTGCCTCTTCTCTTGTACCCTTCAACTCCCATACCTAAAACTTTCTTCGCCACATTTTCCTCATCCCTCCACATGACATGTCCATACCAAGCTAACCTATTACTTCTTAACTTTTCATCCAGTGGCGCTACTTTCAGACTCCCTCGTATATACTCATTCCTAACCTTGTCCATCGAAGTGACACCACACATCCAACGCAACGATATACGCATATGAACACATTTAGAAACCTAATTTAGTCTGTAATTATATTTATAGGTTATTACGTATGATTTGTTCCAGGCGCAAAAATGGCAGTGGTAATATATTACTTTTTTTATGGAAGACCGAAAAACGATCAGACGGGTCCTGATGGAAATTGACAAATTTTGATATAACTTAGAGTGCGTATTACATGGGTTTTCAAACATGTCAAGATTGATTGATATATTTCATAATTTAATTATTTGATTATACTATGTCAATTATCAAATTGCCGAACCCTTAAACACTCGTAATTCTACCCTGTTGTAGTTAACAAGATTATGTTCCAAATAGTGTATTGTTTCTTTGTAGAGTAGTATCATAATAATTACTTGTAATTTCTGTAACACTATACCGATTGGAGTACTATCTTCTTCTTAGCGTGTCGATGACAATTCAAATTGAGTCGGCCCAAAATTTGGCGACGAGTACGGCACTTTCAGTAGCCTCCATCAGTTCCTGTGATGTGCAAATGTGGTGCCGGGTAGTTTATAAATGGAAGTGATGGAGCAATTACCAACATCCACTGTGATAATTTCTATGCCGTTCTCGTTTGAGCATTTGGTGGAAAGTATGCTTACGCCTGGAGCAGCAAACACTGCGTTACCGTGCTTTGGGTGACAGATCTCGGCGATAAGCGTGAGTCCATCGATGTGTGGCCGGCTTTGGGTTTCATCTCGATGGGTCTCTTGAACGCAAAGAATGTCTCAGCCAGTTTTGCGGCATAAATTGGAAAGAATTTCCGATTTATCTTGAGAGAACCCTTCGATGTTAATCGAGACTACGCACAAAGCCGGTGTTATTGGAGGACTTGGAATTGTCATCGTGGTGAAAGGATTAGCCAGTCAGCGTGGGGATTCGCTGACTGCCCAGGGTGCGCCGGACGTATAGTAGATCAGTGGATACGTCACTCGGGGAGGCTCCTTTCTGCACTATTAAATGTTCTGAAGAACCGCAGGTTAATAACCGTATTATCTATGAACTACAATATTTTGAACGCACATGCTTTATGAATGACGTTGAAATTTCTAAGTCAATAATGCGGGTAATAATGACGTAACGTAAGATGAGCATATGCTTGAAGATAGAGAATTCTCCGTACGCATTGTTTAGTAAGTTTTATTAACCAAGTAGAGTGATTATTTTTTTTATGTCAGAGGGGGCAGACGAGCAGACGGGTCATCTGATGGAAAGCAACCATTGCCGCCCATGAACGTCTGCAACTCAGGAGTCACAGACGCGTTGTCGGCCCTTGAGGAAGGAGTACGCTCTTTTCTTTAAGGTTTGAAGGTCGTAACGGTTCGGAAATACCTCGGACGAAAACTTGTTCAACAGTTTGGTTGTGCAAGGCAAAAAGTGTCTTGAAAAGCGCACAGTGGTGGAGCGCCAATTATCCAAGTAATGGGGATGAAAAGTTTGCCGTGTGGAACGATGTCGGAAAGTTGCGGCCGGTATTAGTCCGAACAATTTCTCGGAGCACTCTCCATGACATATACGATAGAGAATGCAGAGCGAAGCTGCATCTCTACGTAACGCCAAGGGATCGAGCCGATCGGAGATCGTTTGGCTATCGATGATTCGAGTCGCTCTTCGTTGGATACAGTCCCGAGGAAGAAGCTTACTACTATAATTTTTGCAACATGAAACAATGTTCAATGTAATATACTATTTTCCCACTATGTGAATTTTCTTTCCAAAATATTTTACTTTCTTGTTTTCTTTCTCGGAACGATATATTATATCTGTATGGTAATCATTCATTAATAGAATAAAGCTAATAAACCACCTAGAATTTGCTTTCTAAATTATTCGGATGTCCACTAAACTCAAGTTCAATACGGTCGTAATGGCTGACTTCAGTATTTTCTATAGATTTAGAAATAGTGTAGCCAAACCTATATGTATCTGCAGCTGTATAAATGGCTATAGAACTTTACAATTGTAGAGTTTGTATCTGTTGAAAGTGTCTATCTATAAGTTTCACATTGAAATATACGTTTTGTACTAATGACTGAGGTATTATCAAATATTTAGACCGAAAACCACCGTATCCAATCCAGCGAAGCGAACACGAAAATCGCGGTGAGTTAAATAATAATAATAAATTATTTATGTAAAATTAGTAGTAAGTGATCCCTACCTACAAGAAACGATCATTTTTAATTTGTTCACCTATTATTAGCAAATAATATTAGCATTATCAATTAACATACAAAAGAATTCGTAATTTATTAAATTAAGTCTAATTAGCATTACTATATACACTATATACACTAGTATTTTGCTTTTAATACACATTAAGTTTGAAATAAATGTCCCGAATACTTTATTATTCAATTATGCAAAAATGTTGCTCTAATTTCTAGACTTTGTTCATTTTTATTAATTTAAATAGAGCCTACGTTACAAAAGCTTGTTTTTTTGTTGTAAATTTGTATATTTGGGAACAAGCTTGAAATTACTTATTTATGTTTTGCGGCAATGTTTGCGACCGGTGGTTTTTAGTATTCCGGAGTCGTGTGATTGTTGTTTTTATCCACTTAAAACAACTAACTCAACGTTGTGGTTTTGGATATTTTTTTATTTATCTTTAGTAAGTCTGAGTGAGACAACTTTATAAATTGAATAAAAAAATATTTACATGCTTGTCATTGAACACAACTTCTGTAGCTCATAAATTTTGAATCCCCAGCGGTTTTTATGAGGTTTCTTGTTTAAGACGTAGACACATACGTGTTTTATTATTTATGAATTGTATCGAGAAGCGTTATGATTCCAGTCTTTAAGCATTTTCTATGATTCTTACAATTATTAGAGCCCCTTTTTTCTGAAACTACAAGTTTTGTCCCGTCCATCCGCCGTACCACTGTTGTGGCTCGATCTCGTTTTGATGCGATCAGACCACCACTCTATCCGCTACCGTGAACCCTAATCAGCCAGATAGTTAGAACCTCTGGCGGCTCGTTTCGTTAGACCCTTAGGGTGAAATAGTTGAGAGGGAGATGTTTGTTATCCCTCTAAGAAGTCCTCGACAAACAGTTTTTTATCGTTAACGTATTCACTGAATTGAATCCGCACACGAGTAAATATTTATAATTATAATAATAATATTTACAACCATTTCACACAAGGCCGCCTGATCCCAAACTAGGCAGAGCCTGTACTATGGTAACCAGACCGCTGATACACATGACATACTTATATATTTCTAAATACATACATATTATAAATAAAGTACACCCAGACACAGAACAAATGACCGTGCTCGTCACACAATTATTTGTCCTGGGTGGGAATCGAACCCACGACCTCTGACTTAGCAGTCAGGGTCACTAACCACTAGACCAACGGGCCAGTCATATCCATCCATCAAATGTTAAATAGAGGTCATTGTACCTCATTTACATATAATATACATTAGTAACGAACTACTGGTGTAGAAATAAATATCATGATCCATTAGATACTGTGGTGTAAATATTCAGAATAAAGGAAAGTTTTCATTGTGAAATAATTTCATTTTGAGTTATAACTCTTAAGTAAGAAACTTTGAAAGCTTCTGAGCACTCATTAGTTGATACATCAAAGAGTAATAGACTGGATCCAAAATAATAATTGTAATTAAAAAGTTTTACAACAAAATTTAACACTTCGTCAGATTACTTAGCCGCCCGTCGTCAACCTAGAAGCATATTATTCCGTTTGTTTGTTTCAAATTTTGTGTTTTTTTCTTTGTAGAACTACATTACTTGGAAAATTGAATGGCTTTGTTAAGCTTTGAAGTCTCAAGTGAGAGTAATTGAATGTTGAAGAAATTTCTTTGCGTAAAGCCTTTTGTAGTACTGCTTTTCTTAAAAATGTCCATTATATTACACTGAGTGATCATTTTGTTCGTTGCTCATTAGGATGTGAGGCTTTCAAGATCCTTATTGTTGAAGTAATTGTTAAGGAAGTTTGTTGTGGGGGAAAAATTACCTTTTGACCAATTTTAATCGTGTTAAGATGATGTATTTTGTTATTGAATGCAAATAAGTCATAACACATTCAATACATTCATATTCTGTTTACAATTGTCTTAATTTCAAACTTTATTATATGAATTTAATCTCATCTGACCATCAAATAATGGCTTCGAAAACATTAGTAAATGGCTCCATTTGCAGCGCAAACTTTCAAGTTTAAAACAACACTAGTTTAAAGAAAGTTATGAACTGAAACAAAATGGACTAAAAGTTTTAATTGTTTTCTGTGTTCCAATTTAAGAACAAATAACAAAGTATCTATTAGATTTTGAAACAAATTATTAAACAAAAAGTTAGTCAGGTAGTCAGCAAAACTATACAAATGCATTAACTATTTCGAATGTACAAAAAAATCTGTGATGGGTTTCGTTATTGATTTTAAATATACCTAAAAAACTGAGAATGACTGAAGAAGATTGAGAAAAAATAAAGAGTGAACCCAATCGAAACTGCAATCTTGGGTGTAATTGAAAATATCTTTATCTCCTAAAATATTAATTATTTTATAGAAGTGTCATATTTTGGTCTGTTCTGCTCTACTCTGCTTTGGTATTTTGATCTGCTTTGTCAATTAATGAATATTATCCTAAACTGGAACGATTTTAATGATATCTTACATTTCACGGCCTTCAATCTAAACGTTTCGATTACAATCTATACATACATAATCTACATGTAAAATCTAATCTGAAAAAACATAACCCCTTTGCGCGTAAATAATTTAAATGCACATACTAGATATTTTGAATAAAATCTAGTACTTAATTTGTTTACTTTTCATTTTTATTGAATGTTAGGTGATCAATGCGATCGAGGTATTGGGGTTTCCCATCTAGGGTACACCTGGCCGTCAATTCTGCTATTTTATGTTAACGTCATTCCATTGACACACTATTGATATGAAATTGATACAGTCAAAATATCTGTATTCTAGTAACATAAATTCATAGTATGAATAGACTGTCGATGTAGTGACAATGGTTCATAAATGGTGATACTAACAACATTAACATGTCTGGCAAATTTAATATTTCATTTCCTTACAAATATAAAATGTACCCTTTAATAAATTATTGCAAAGACATCGACGGCATTTGTATCAGTGACAGTTCAGTGACAAGTCATCGGAAAGCCATTGGTGTTACATGGTTAGTAGAATACGAAAAGTGCAAAACTATTCCGATGATAGGCCATCGACATTTTTTTGATACAATATTAAAATAGCAGAATTGAGGCCCTGATTCCCCGGCTAGTGGTACCCCAAAAGGCATGCGGTTATTAATCGGTACGAGTCCGACATAACCACTTTTTTTTTGTTGACGGGATAGAAAATACCTTCGAATCTCCGGCTCCTTTTTGGATGTAGGACCGAGGAGTATGAGGTGTTTCCACTAAAAACCACTCCGACGACCGGACTCAAGTGCCCCACTCCAAGAAGGACCCGGACTATGTTATTTCAGGTCCCCTCGGATCGACGCTGCGCCTAGTACAGCCCTATCCCGGGGAAGCCTAATCCTTATAATATGTTGCGGCCCGATCTCATTTTTGCGACCAGGCCGCCTTGCTATCGCCTACCACAGCAGTTAATCTGCCACCAGAGGTCCCCACTTTATGGCAGCCTGCGACCCCGTCGATGGCTGGCATTGCCGCGGTTGTTGCAGCATCGCGCGCCTGTGTGCCTGTCGCTGAGCGTTCCGCCGCATTTCGACCTCGTCTTGGTCTTCCCGCTCTCACCCCGGCAGATCACCGCATACGTTTTGGTAAAATTATTGTTCAAAAGTAAATTAACTCTCTGATCCAACTCTTATGAAGAATATATCGTAATTAATTGCTCTACTATTATTAATTATCCTATTCAACTATGATCTTTTTTATTTCTACAGTATAATCTCATTTTATTTAAAAAAAATATCCCTAAATAAAATCGTTTTAGACTCTGAACATCATTTATTCAAGAGATCAAATGTGGAAGGATCAACGGCTGGCATAAAGCCAAAAAGTGTATTTTATAAATGGACGGAAAATATTCAAAAGCTTTAATAAATATTTTTTCAGAACTTACCATTTACTATCCTCTGTTCACCGTTTAACGTCCAATAGTATTGAGGTACTGGATATGCTTCAGCTGTGCACTGTAGTGTGATTGAACCGCCTGATGGAGCTCGTATTGCTACCCTGCCTGCCCATACTGACGGGGAAACTGTATTTGAAAATTAAATGTTATTCGTTTTCCATTGTTACTGTACGTTTATTATTTAAAGAGCGCCATCTATGAATGTGTATAGGAACATAGTTTATAGGATTCATTTGTTATGAAAATACAATATTTTTATACGGAGATAAGGAATTTTCGAAGCTGTGCTTACATGTTAAATGTGACATTTAAAGTTTTTTTTTAATTTTCTAGGTATCTTATGTGAGTCTTTTCTATAAACATGATGTAGATACTCAGCCTTGTATTTAATTATTATAAAACAGTAATAGGAAATAAACACAACATGACTCCTTTCAGAGAAAATTGTTTGTGAATTACAATTTTTTTACATTTATTACAAAAATCGCCTTATTTTCCTGTTTGTTTGAAGTATTTGTGTTATTATTTTTTTGTGTTTATACACTTATTAATTCGAGTGATTATAAGTAAGGTACTTCCATTTTCGATATTACTTCAATCAACGAAGCTATAAGCACAGACTTTATAAAAAAGTTATTTAATAAAACTATAAACGTTAGCGTCGAACGTAAATATAAGTTAGTCAGATGGAAAAATGCTTTTTGTGTTTTACTCTAGCGTAACCGATTAGTTTTGGTGCTGAATTCAGAAGACTTAATAACTTTCTCTTACAAAGGAGATGAGAATAATATCCTTTGGGTTAAATTTAAATTTATGAAACCGATATTGCTGTTGTTATTAAATAAAATTGATAATATTTCAGCAAACACACGCTTTAAAGTAGAAGTTTGCTTGAAAATTAATACTTTACTTACATGGATGAAATATTTAAAAAAAAAACATCGTATGGAAAAGTTTTATTACAAAATTATAAACGTATAATTATGTACTCTATATTTGTTTATATTTTGCTTACAACTTTTTGTTTAAGCATTTCAAGTTACACGGAAAAATAAGTTTTATTTTTGAAAAGTAATAAAAAAAGCGTAGCGGTCGCACAATTAATATTATTTCATAAAGTATTTATGTCTACCCATGTAGAAAGAGCTATTTCCTACAACTATTGCCATTTAAAATAAAACAAACATATAAATTCTAAAAGATAAATATTTTAAGGTGAAACTGTGTGATTTAGCCTATTTACTTGTTATAAATGAAGTTTTAATTTAGAAACTAAAAAGAAGTAACAAAACTCAATGATCCTTACAACACACGCTTACGATCCTAATGTAGCTACTTTGATATTTTGTTTATCGTATTTCCTGAAATGTAATACAAACGATGTACTGAATTATTTATTGGAATTTCTAAGGACCTTGTTTATCTCTTATTCTCCAATTACGGTCATACTGATAAGAAAATATATTGAAATTATCATAAACACATAAACATTCTATGAAAATAAGTGTTTATATTGAGCATTAACTTTTGAACTTTTATCTCTTATATATTTATGTTAATTAAACCAATTGATAAAACAGTAAATTGTCATCGTTTGAATATCTTTATAGAAAATGAATTTTCCTGAATTTGAAATTACGTTTATTTTATAATCTAAGAATAATACAGTAAACGGGTCAAAGTTGTAAAATATTCGGGTGCATACTTAGATTAAACCTAAATATACCAACCGCTTCAGGCAGAAACTCCCTCAAAATTATGATAATCCATCACCCGACAGTGGTGTTATATTCCAGTAGCGAAAATCATAATTATGGACATTATAAGGGAGGTAATTTGTTTAAGAGTCTACTCACATATCACATTAATCTGGATCCGCTTGCTTACTGATGGCGGTACTCCGTTGCTTGCGATACATAGATAGGCCCCAGACAGGACACGTTCCACGCTTGTAAGATTCAACCAAGGGCCGCTCCATTTTGAAACTGTTAAAATAATGATAACGATATATTCTACGACATTCTTAACATCACTGCCGAAACTAAAAGTGTGAATTTATATTAATTAGAATGTGCAAATGTGGCGTATACATTACCACACCACACCTACACGAGCCTTACCACACTACGCCACGCCACGCCATACATAATATATTTGTACATAAGGTAATATTGCGTCATTTTTGATGCCTAAACGTAAACATTTCATCCATCTGATTCTTTCTTCACTTGGATAGTCAAAGGCAGAAATGATTATTAAAATATATTATTTATCTCCTGTAGCTCTGGTATAAAAATAATTTGAAGGTAAATTACGTCGAGTTTATTTATATTTTAAGTACACATCGGCCTCAAAGGAACCAACGAAATTCGTAATTTTTTATCATTACTTATTTTAGCGAGGAAACAAATAAGGAAGTTTTGTTAAGAAAAACAGCTAACTAAGAATCGAACTAAGTGTTTGTTTCCAAAAGCTTAGTAAATACCCGGTACAAATTTTATAACAAGTTTGTAACACTCTAGAATGCAAATAGGAGAGCTTGTATTCAATTTGCAATGGCGGGCTCCAAGTTTTCCTTTAAACGAGTTCTGGTACTCACACCCACTCACGTACATACTACCCCAACTACGTACATATTCACAGAATTGTAACTGAATTATAATAAGCAAACTGTTTTTGTTACTAGCAGTGTTTATCTGTTGGTATATTAAACATACAGATAAGTTGGCCACCAGGCTTATGTTATAAAAACAACTGACAAAAGTTTGAAAGAAAATTTTAAGCATCATGATTTAGACGTATTCAAGTCCAATGTATATTTTTTTAAAACAATAACAGTTACCTAAGGTCTGATTGTCGATTTTAAAATGTCTGGAGTCTTCTCTCCTCCAAGCTATGTTGGGTGGAGGTGTGCCTGATGCCACACAACGTAGCGCAGCGTTGTCACTTTCGTTAACTAAGACTTCACTACTGCTGACGTCATCGTCGATGTCTGGTGGAACTGGTGAAAGAATATCATTAGTTTCTTTATCAGTAACTCTGAAGAAAATAATACGACGATGAAGAGTGGTGAATTTTGTTTTATTAATCTTAGGCATTCCAATTTATTTGAAATTTGGAATGTTTCTATATGGGTGTTATAACTTTGAATGAAGATAGATAGATATAAAACTCTTTATTTGCACACCATGTTTCTAAATGATATTTATGTCTGTAAGTAAATTTTATCAGATATTTTTAGAAGTCGGACTTAACAGCTAGAAGAAGCCGGCATTTCCTAAGACTCACTCTGCTAAGAAACGCCGAAACAAACCACAGAGGTGTTTTTTTTTTAAATAAAACTGTGCGAGTACAGTAAAGGGTGGGCCTTTTGACCATAGTTTTAAGTCGGCCTGTCCATACGGTATACATGCCACAATCATCGTGAAGCTCAACCGATATTGGTTACCGCTAGCATTAGATTTAGGTAGGATGTGAAAACATTCAAAACCACCAGAAAGTTACTTAAAATATAAATTAACATTACAAGCCTTTTTTTTTTTTGTTGACGGGGTGGAAAATCCCTTCGGATCTCCTGCTCCTCGGGGCTAGGAGCTAGGAGTATGTGGTGATTCCACTAAAAACCACCCCGACGGCCGGCCTCAGGTGTCCTACTCTGGGAGGACCCGGACCATGTTATTTCAGGTCCTCCCCGAATTGACACCATGCCTAGTCAGGCCCTATCCCAGGGGAAAATCACTTCCCCCCTCAATCGCGACGTGGCGGCCCAATTTCGTCTTAATGAAATCAGGCCGCCATCCTATCCCCTACCGCAACATTCAATCAGCGACCAGAGGTCCCCACTCTCTGGCGGCCCGCGGCCCCGTCGGCGGCTAGTATGGTCGCCGACGTCCTCTACGCTCAGGATCGGCCCTCTCCCGATCCCGTTCAGCGGTCTCTTTCTGGAGCATTACAGCTTCACAGAAAGAGACCACTGCGCCCTATCCCTCCTCACCCGCCAGCATGGCAGCAATGATTGCTGGCGGGGACAGGTCTCTTCCGATTTGGCCGACCAGGACTTCGCGTTCGGACGCCCACGCGGGGCAGTCTTCCAGCGTGTGCTGGGCGGAGTCCCAGTCGGCTGCGCAGTGCTGGCATTGTGCTGTCTCCTCGCGTCCGATACGATTCAGGTACTCACCGAAGCAACCATGCCCAGTGAGTACCTGCGTCAGTCGATAGGTGACGCGACCTCCCTCCCTACCTACCCAGGCTTCGAGGTTAGGCAGAACAGCGCTGACAGCGCGTTGGCGTGCATTCTGTGGCTGTTCCAGCCGCACGCGCCACTGCACCAGTGCATGTTGGTGAGCGTTCCGCCGCATTTCGAGCGCGTCCTGGCCTTCCCCGCTCTCACCCCAGCGGATCGCGCGAGTCTGGTCATAGACCCTCGCATCCATATCCGCCAGGATATCAAAGGGCGGGAAACGTGCCAGGACTGTCGCCGCCTCCGACGAAATAGTGCGGTACCCTCGTACGATCCGAATGGCCGCTATCCGCTGCGCTTGATTGAGCTTAGCTCGGCAGCGGGAGTAGAGGGCCATGGATCGTATCACCGCACAATAGAGGCGGCGAACTTCCTCCCGCGGACCCCCTAGGTTAGGCAACAGCCTCTGTAGGGAGCCCGCCACCCCACGAACTCGGGGGATCATCCGCTCGAAATGCTCCCCGAAGCTCCAGCGGCTGTCTAGGGTGAGGCCAAGGTATTTTATGTGTTGGCCAACCTCGACCTCTGTTCCCCCCACTCTAATAAGTGAGCGGGTGGGAACTGCACCTCTGCGTTTCCTGTGGAACCATAAGGCTTCCGTCTTATGAGGTGCAACCCTTAGTCCCAGACCGCTGATGCTTTGGACGACACAAGCCACCCCTATCTCGGCGAGCTCAAGGGCCTCCTGGAAGCCATGCCCCCCAGCCAGTACTAGAGTATCATCTGCGTAGCAGACGACGCTCAATCCTGGGGGAAGGCTGGTCCTCAGAACGGCATCATACGCGAGGTTCCACAGAAGTGGTCCTAAGACCGATCCCTGGGGAACCCCGCATGTGACTTCCCTTCGACATTCTTCGCCGTCCCGACCCATATACGATATGGATCTGTCGCGGAGATAAGCCCCGATAAACATTACAAGCCTACAACTATACTCACATTTATATTCTTACACAAAAAATATACTATACAATTTAAATTGAACAATAAATATACAAATTGAAAACAAACAAATTTGAAATTCAAGAATTAGTTTTAAATTCAATCAATTTTTAATTTACAACGATAAAGACTTTTGATTGAAAGATAAAGAATTGTTTTATTTTTTTATTTTACTTGTATTAGTGAACTTTATAATTATTTTATTGATGACTTTATGTTATAATTTATTTTTCGTTCGTGACTTTATTTTTGATTGATTTTACCATTTTTATACAATTTGTAATTATGAGTGGAAAATTTTTGCATGTCAGTATAACTAAACGTTAGCACTTATGTCTTCTATAACAACTTATGTACAACATTTAATGGCAAATAAATTATTCTTCTATTCTTTACAATATTTTTTATGGAATCTCTTTCAAGTTATTATCGTCGAGAGAGCCAGCGGAGAGATACCTCGTTTATTTTGATAATCCCAGATCAAAATTAAATTTGTTGTGAGAATAGAATTTAATTAAAATTTAGGCTTTCTTTATTTAAAAAAAAACACGTAATTAAGTAGTGAAAAAATCAACAACAACATAGTACTTTTTTTATACCCACCGTTTTTAAACAATATGTACTACAAAGTTAAGTACAGAGACCTATAATGGCCCAGTATATATTTGTCCTGTGATAGTATAAAAGTCATTTCATAGGTAGCTCTAATTATACTGGGCATTGAAATAATAAGATACATTTAAAATAATTAAATTTATACCGCCAGACGATCTAAAGAATAAATAGGTCTGTCTAGGTACTAGTTTGTAGATGCGAAGTCAAGCTTTAAGCTTGACTTCGCATCGCATCGCATCGCATCGCATATAAGTAACAACATTTGTCATCATAACACGTCCACTGGAAAAGGAATTTCATTAAATGAAACCTCTATAAAACCTTGAATAATTCATCTATTTTGTCGGGTGAAGACAAGACCGAGAAGACTTTGAAGGTTGTGCATCTTATACAAAAGTGTGAGTGAGTCATAGTCTTATCAAACAATTCAGAATTGACAAGGTTACTAATCGTATAATATTGAATTGTATTGATTACCGACTGCACGGATGGCGTAGTGGTTTAAGCGGTCGCCACGCCGTTTCCTACTACGCCGAGTGTTGTTGGTTCAAACCCCACATGGTACGACACTTTGTGTGATCCACAAATTGTTGTTCTGCGTCTGGGTGTACTTTGTGTCCGTTTCATGTATGTTTGTAAAGTCCCCCGCGACACAATATATATTTCTAATGCGGGAGTTGTCTTTAAAAGAAAAAAGAAAAAGAAAAATCATATTTAAGGTTTCTTACCTACAACATGTAACAGATGAGTTTGACTCATCATTGGCTCGGTGTTCACTTGGCACATATATCTTCCTCCATCTAAAGGCCCAATCTCTTTAAGGCCAAGCGTCCAGGCTCCATCACCGTGGCCTACACTCACCCTGTGATTTTTCGTGATTACGTGGCCGGCGATAGTGAGGATTGTTTGGGTGTCGACGCGTAGCCACGCCACCTGTGAGCAATACAGTATATAGGTGACATCGAGTCTGATCTGATAACACTTGAAATGATACATTCTACGAACACCTACTAAAATATCATATTACGAAAATTGATCCAATTACGGATTTTCCAGTGATCCTACATCGCGCAATGATTTTTCCCGGACCTTAACCGGCCTGACTAGATACTATTTTGCGGGATAAAGCTAATCTACACTCCTTATTTTATAAAATTACTTGTCCAGACTAACTGATTCTTCAGCACATAGATTAAATCGCTACAAACTCGAAATTTTGGCAGCTGATGCTTTTGTGTTGTGAGCTGATTAAGAAAGGATTTTTGAAAATTTCGTTCTTAAGGAGAAGGGATGAACGGTTGAATAGAAATTCTTTATTTTCAAAGTTAGAGACATGAAATGAGGAACGCGACCAATAGATAGTATTACATAATTGTACATTTTAAGAATTAAAAGTTTTAGTTACAATATCTATCTAAATCTCTACTAACTAAACAAAATAATAAAGTAAATTAAACAGTTCTCTCTTTTCATTTAGCATTGTTTACACCAATAAGGTTTGTAATCAAACCTTATCCCAACACCCTTGCCAACTTCGTAACAATATAAATTATCTCAACTACATTGATAAATTTCTCTTTCACCATTTTCCTCTAACCAAATTGTTTACTAAAAGCTTCCTCAATTCAAAACAGTGCCGAGAAACTGGAACATTCCTTTTACGTAGTAACACATGGTGCTTTACAAATACGTCCCATCACTACATTTAATGGAGTCTGAGGATAGTATCCAGTAAGGAACGTTTCGTAGCAAAATCCTGTTGATCTAAGTTTAATTTCGAACCTTATAAGACGCAAAGGTACAAAAGTGTCGTCATAACATGATTTCTACAAGGCCTTTACCATATATACCTATATGTTGTATTCAAACATAGTCACATTCTAGATGTCTATGGTTACTTTTCTGTTCGTGGATGAATTTTTGATAGATTGACATCAGACAAAGTTATAACTAAGTAAGTGTGAAGTGTAAGGTGTGGTAATTTGTGGGTTTGAATCGGTTGGGGTTCGAATTCATTTTCAGGACAAAGAGTTCACAACTGACCTAAACTAACTAATGACACAGACATGTGGATTAGCTGGAGGGGTCAACAGGAGTTCTCATATCATCACATCAACAGTCTTTAATAATCTACTAATAGATGTAGGCCTCTTCTTAGAAAGGACGTTTTGGCCTACTATACCACGCTGGCCAGACGGTTTGGTGTGGTTTGGTGTAGGGTTTGTGTGAGCGCTATTGTCCTTCGTAGTATTCTCCCTTAATCAGCTCTCTCATAATCCACGGAATGAACAGGGGTAGTTACACTCCGTATTCTTAATGCGTCACCACACGGATATTTTGGACAGGAATTATGGTGATGTGTAACTCACGAAACTTTCAACTATTTGGCACAAATGGCCGAATCAATCGAAGTGATACCATGGCCTTACAATAAACCGGTAAAGAATTTCTTGACAATAATTCACGAAATGAGAAAGGTTCTCCGGGTGAGGGGCACAAATCCCCTCTCTCCCTTATTCTAAGTCTGGTGACTTAAAAGGCGGCAATGCGCTTGTGACTCTTGGATTGTACTTTTGAACATATAATACCTGGTACGTGATCACGTTAATTACTCCCTCGTTAAAGGACATCCAACTCTCATGTGTAAAGATAAAATACATTTTAGCTTGTACGTTATTACCGTACAAGCTAAAGTCTTGAAGCTAAAGAACAAACACTTGAAAGTGATTACACTTTCACAACTACATTTAAACTAACGCTTAATATTGCGACTATACTTACTTTGAATGTCTGCAAATTATCAACCCTACAAGTGAGTGCTGCATCTCTGCCAACCGCCACCGTGACATTCGAACCAGACCCCACGAATCTTGGAAGATCTGCAACAAAAGAGATGATGCATTTTATAAATGTATTGTTTAACTTGACTTGCTCTTGACTCATAAAGCCTTTTGCTATTTTAGTAACTATGACTATACGTGCGTTTTAATCTACTCGTATCTAAATTACTTCCTTACTTCACTGGCTCATCGACCCAAAATGTGTCTTGGCCTATCTGTCTTGTAAATGACATATACATTTTTATACGAAGGCATAACAACTATACCGTAACATTACCAGACTTTTAATAGACAAGTATCAAAACTACCTATAGCCTGACACTACCCGCATGCAATGTGTAACATCTATGGAAAATTACGGCAGTACGTAATAGGACGTCAAGAAAGCACGCTCTAAATCACTCCCATAGATTGCAAGAAAGCAAATCAAAAATTAACTACGCTATTTTGTTCATAATCATAATCATCATCATCAGATTATCTCAGTCCAATGCCGAACATAGGCCTCCCCAATTGCACGTCACTTGGTTCGATCCTCGGGTTCTCATATCCAGATGGAAAACCTTACAAGAAAATGGTAGGCAAGTATTTTGGTCTTTGCCTTGACACGTAAATACATACATACACTTGCGCCTATAACCCGGAGGGGATAGTCAGAGGCGTATTCAACACTCACATTTTGCTAACTATAACTTTAAACTCACTTATGAAATAGAAGGCAAACCTTTAGCCGTCAATTCGAAACTCTAAGGATTAGATGGGCAAATTGGAAAAATAGGGAAATATATAAAAAAGAAGAAAAGACAATTTTGTCAATTTTGTGACTGCACGGCTGGCGTAGTGGTATAAGCGGTCGCCACGCCGCTTACTACTACGCTGAGTATTGTGGATCCGATCCCCACCTGGGACGACGCTTTGTGTGATCCACAAATTGTTGTTCTGAGTCTGGGTGTTATTTGTGTCCGTTTCATATATGTTCGTAAAGTCCCCCGCGACACAGGATATATTCCTAATGCGGGTGTTGTCTAATAAAGTAATACATTTTATTATTTGAGAACAGAAGTAACAGCTCAAGCAGTTAACGGTGATATACCTGCATCTCGACTTGTCTATTGCTGGACAAATCCAGTCCACAAACCAATCCCTTTATAATATCTATCTACTTTTATAAATAATGTTATTTTGGTCTTGTTTTAAAACTAAATATACATGACTGAACGAGATATAAATAAGGTCAAACATGTAACGTAATATTTTATGCTCATTTAGATATTCAAGTCACGTAAGAAATTCATTTTTTATGAAAGAAATCTAAAGCTTCTATTAAGGCCTTTATACAGATCTCACGTAAATAACTTAATTTTATTTAGATTTATAATATACTGAATTAGAAAATAAGGTATAATTTTAATTAATTATCTTACTTCTTTTATAGTAAATGTATTGAATCATGCAATAAATTATTACCAGAGGCATATTACATAGAATAAAAGAATAGAATAAAATTATTTCTTTTAATTTTATCTGTGTAGTTTGGAATCGTGCCGTCAACAGCGGTGTCTGTAAGGCTTTGCGAACCTATTCATCTTGTATGAGCATCTGAGCATATGGAAGTCGATTGTATCATCACAGAAGAATTGAGCCAACTTAAACCATGCGGTGTCTTTTGGTTTACGGCAAACACTCAAAAGATTTACGGTAATTCGGTTCTGAATACGACCACTTTCAAATAAAGAACAGTAAACTCATGAATTTCATTTAGAATAAATAAATAATTAGCAATTCAAACATCTTTTTGCAAATAAACGAAATAAACCGTCGTGACGAATACTAAGCGAGCCATTAAATAATTAATTAAAACGACTTCACATCTTTGAATATTATATCCCCTAACTAATCCTTGGCTTTGCAGCTCTTCAACAAGTACGAGTACGTAGTTGCTTTGTTAGCCTGAAGTATTTAAAAAATCAACTAGGTCTTGTGCCAAAGAAGATTAAACCTTATACCATTAATTTTACTCTGACATTTTACGTTTGGAATTAACCTCATTCCATCCCGCCTGTGGACCACTGAGAGGGGTAATAGAGTCCACCTGTGTATTCATTAACCCTCAGCGCCAAAGCTGGCGGTTTAATTAGTTTAAGCGCTTTGTCTCCAATTAAAAGTCTTTGATAATGTTAAGCCGGAGAAATGATGAACACCAAATACTATTTGTATTTGGTGTCAATGTATAAAAAAATAAAAATATGTAATGTTTTTATTTAACATGTTTTTACATACTATTTGGTGTTAATTTGTAATGAAATAAAAATTTGAATCTTTTTTTTTTATATATATATTTTAACATATTTTTGATAAAAGTACCTATAAAATTTGGTTATTTTTTCTTAAACTTAGGATAGATCCTTATTAAATACCAAATTATGTTATGCTATTATGTTTAAGTAGTAGTAAAACATAAACTTTGTTGAAAGACATAAAATTGTATGTTAACCCGTGGTAGTGGTTAAGTCTACGTGAATACTGTAGGAGATTTTAATTGCCATAATTGATAATACTCATATGGGATATGGCATATCATAGTCTCACTATGAAATGCCATATCCCAAACTTAACCATTCTCAAGATATTGAACCCTTAAGATGTTTAATACTAATTCCGAAACGTTGTCTATTACAATTTTTTTCTGACTTCTTTATCATCACCATCATCAACAGCTTATAGTCCACTGCTGGACATACGCTTCTCCACGCTGGCCAGACGGGTTTATCTATCTATCTATTATTATCTATATAAACTACACAAAAGGAAAACTTGACAAAAACCCTATGGTTTTTGTCAAGTTTTCCTTCTCTTTGCAGTGCTATTGTTCTGCATAGTTTGCTCTTTTAGTCGGCTCTTATAAGACACCCACGGAATGAATAAGAGTGGCGACCGTATTCTTAATCCGTCACTGATGATTTAGTTTATGACTTGTATTCCCTTTTTTTGAGGATTTTATATCATAGATACGTTATTTTATAAGCATAATCACTAAAATTCTAGTTAATTTAAGAAACTGAAGAAGTTTTTCTCGCCATCACAATGGATTTTTGGAATTCGATTCTTAGATGCGAGAATAAATGCATGATTCACAAACCATTTGAAACTTTTCAAGCCATTGATGAAATTGTTTAAAACTTTGGTAGGGTGTTTTAGGGATGCCCTCGAGAGTTCCTAGTCCAACAAAAATATATTTTCATGCATTTTATTTTCGTTATTTCTTCATTTGTTTGTTTAATTGCAGAGCATGCCGGGTACAGCTAATAAGATATGTTTGTGACTCGTTGTAGAATAAAATTAAGTAACTAAATCATGTTATACAGACTTAATCCAAAATAAACACAAATATTAAATATCTAGATTCACAGATAAAGTTATTTAGCAGACATTTAATGTTATGCTAAAAGTTCTGACGTAATTAAACCGTTTAAACTTACACAGCTTTAAACTATTTCACTTTGAGCTATATTGCACTAAAACAGTTTAACAAACTTAAGGCCCGGGGTTCTCGTATCACGTATACTTGATAGGGTATATTTTCATGTTCAAAATAGTTTCTCAATAAAGCAAATATCCACTGGCTTCTTAGCTTAAAAATGGACTAGTTGAGAAGATAGCCAGAGCCTCAGAATTGACAATGACATCCATTTTTACCAAAAGGCGGCAAACGAGCAGACATGTCATCAGATAATCAGTACCTAGCGCCCCCATCGGCACATGTACAGACAGAAATATGTGCCCGCACTTACCCAGCCACCGAAACCCCTCCTTCCAGAATGGGGGAGGTGTTTGGGCTCCGGTGATTTTACACACTCCATGAAGATCAAGGAAGGACATGCTCGCGTACCGGTTTTCTATAAAGTAGTAAATTTTAAATATACTATACAATTATTGATCCAGGGTGGAACTTTGAACCACATTACATAAGTAAAAATAAAATATAAAATTAACCACCGCATATTCCTTTGCGCGCTTTTAACACGCGGGAATCTTCATTTTAATTCCATCATATTAAGAAAATTACTGAAGATATACCCGTTGAAAGGCGTAGCATATAATATGATTTTGCCTTACCAATTGATGAGATGGCGGGAATACTTTTCATAATGAGTATTTTCTTAATTAATCATTTTGTGACTTTCATGAGATTGATTTGAAAATAACATTCGAATGAAACCACATGACATTGGAATAAAACCACTTTTGTGACAGGTATTTTTGTTTTACTTTTTACTTTTTCCCGTGGATGTCGTAAGAGTCGACTAAGGGAGCAAACCACCCAGGACAACAGGACTACAAAAAGAATGAAAACTTGAAAAAAACCCTATACCAACCCGTCTGGCCAGCGTGTTATAGTAGGTCAAAACTTCCTTTCTAAGCCTATGTCTAGCAGTGGACTATTAAAAGCTGTTGATGATGATGATGGTGTTGATGATGATGATTTTTGTTTTATTCGAAGATGTCTAATTCAGTATGGGACAAGGGCCGAAGCGATCGGATGCATATAACCACAATAGCTCGGTGAAAGAATAATTATGTTAAAACTGTGCGTGTTTTCTGTATGGTCGTAGGATCACACCGACCCATATTGTATCTAAAAATGGCCGATAAAAGGTATATAGTAAAAAACCACGAGATATATTTAATTTTCTTAACATTTTATTAACCTCTGTCCATATATAAGAGGTCGATTATTTTAAAGGTCTTAAATTTACTTTACATTAATTAAGGTAAATTTACAGTTATCAACTGAGTGAAATTCCAGGTAAAATCCAATCTAGTTTATAATTAAGCCAGGAGCTTACTAAGGATAAGTGTTTATCAACCAAATTCAAAGGTTGATGGCGAATAAATTAGGTCTCTTGAGCTAAAACATCGCTTATGGCGGCGCTATTAATTAAATAATAGATAATGAGGTAGTAGGGTGAACATCACGATCTTATTTTTTACTTTAAACCATACAATGTAAATACACGAATGCTTTAATAATTAAAGGTACAAAATCTGATACAACTTTTACTACTAATAAGTAGTTCTGTACTTCATTAAATTGGAAAAAAAAAAGAAGATTATCAAATTAAATTTATGAATTGGAGGGTTCTTTCATTAACTAAGACGGACGTTCAGGATTAAACAATATTTAGATTATTCGTTCCGTATTCGATAATCTAAAGTATTTCTGAAATCTTAACATGATTATAATTTATTGTTTTTTGAAAGTGTTGACATTAGCAAAGGGAAATGCCCACCGACCATAGACATACCGCAAGGAATAACCATAAAACAATTCTTTTTTTTAACATAAGCAAATTATTGGGCGTTTTATGGCCAAAAATGAGCATTCCCCTTAACCCAAATTTTCCGCCAAAGTAGCCAAACTCATATAATTTAACTTACGAGCACTATACAAACATAAAAAATAAATGATATATTTTGCAAATAATACAACATAGTATCCTATTTATTCATATCATTAATATTTAAATTCTTTAATACTATTTTTTTTGTAGGTATGAATTAATTCCTGTCTAACTGATGAATACCGATATTCCCTCATGTATTCGCTGGGATGGAGCTTGAACTTTTTCCTTTCGAAGGTTTCTTTAGCCCCTTTGTGACTTGTGACTAGTAACATATTTTGAGTATTTACCAGAAGTCTGTGAAGGACTATATTCAAAAAAAGAAAAGAAAGAAATAGGCCTTGAAAATAAATCAAGTTAAAGACGGTATTTTAAACTTAATCGTGAGCAAGGAACAGAAATGGTAAATCCTTCATGCGGACCTTTATTTAACAAGATATAATAATACCTAGTAACAAACAAACCAACAATTTTCTACGAAAATGGTAAAAGGACGCTACAAAAACACCTGCGGTCGGCCCACTATCCCTGTATTATACACCGAAGTTAATTTAAGTGATCTTTTATATTTGAGCTCCCAAAATTCAGCATCATATATATTTCACGTATAAAAATGTAGTTTTTTTCAGTACTCTTAAGTGAGGGTTAGTTATGTATTGATGCTGTGTCTGATATATTCGGCATTTCATATGTTATGACTTAAAAGATTAGATATTAAATAGATAGATATATAAGTTTAAGACAATTTGTTATAAACTGAAAAATATTAATCCACAGGCCAGGTGGAGTGACGATTTACGCAAGATGGCTGTCAGGAGCTGGATGCGAGAAGCCCAAAATCGATCTAAGTGGCGTGCAATGGGAGAGGCCTATGTCCAGCAGTTGACTGCGATAGGCTGATGATAATGATGAAAAATATTTAGAAAAAGTTTCATAAATAACAGATGTATTATTTATTTACAGTATATTTTATGTACAGTTTCTAACAAATTGTTTTATTTTATGTTCTTGTAACAATACTAGCTATTAGTCAGGTTTCGAAAATATCTTGAAGGGTTTCGAGAAAAGGATGGTACTGGTGAGGTTTTGTTTTTTGTAGGTCAAGTCTACCCCAAAAATAGAAATCTCCCCGCAATAGACATCTATAGGGATATAATTATGTCACGAACCTCTTATTCCGATAAAGGTACACTTCAACGGCCTAATATATATATAATAGGTCTTTACCTATGAAATTTTTTACCCACTAAAAAGTTGTCTAAATTTTGGAAAAAGTAATAGTCGGTAGGTGCAAGGTCTAAGGTCAAAATTTAGACAACTTTTTAGTGGGTAAAAAATTCAATTCCCGAGAGGCAGTACAAAATGCCTTTGGAGAGTTTGTTGCCTCCCGTCCAGCTGATTTTTACAAGAAGGGCATCAATAAACTGCCAATGCGTTGGCGCGACGATTGCATGGGTGATTACTTCGAATAACAGAAATAAAAAAGTTTGAAAAAATAGGTACTTTCACTTATTGCATACAAAACGGCAATTTCATAGGTAAAGACCTAATATACATATATTTAAAATAAAATATTTATACAGTAAGTTACTAACGGCACTTACGGTATCTTCAGTTATTTTCACAAACTTTGGTGGTTGCCCAAAATAACAAGTAAATTATTATAGAACGAGCTATTACCTACGAGTGAAGTGAAGTTAAGTGAAGTATGTAAGTAGTTAGTAAGTTATTGTACTTACAACAAAAAACTTGGTTCAACATTTTCATAAAAGCTTACACAGACTTGTTCATGATGTAAACTCGCTGTGTTGAACATTACACAGACACATACACACACAAACACAACACAGGGTAATTAAAATTAACCAGGTAATTACTTACTTAGTTTTTTTTCTCTGTTTCATTTGTTTGTTCTTTTTTTTATTGTATTGCTTGTATATCTATGACATTGGGTCCTTTATATTACGTGCAGAAGACATTGTCTCCTACAACACAGTTTAAACTAGCGCAGGAGCCAGGAGATTCTAAATCATAATTATGTGTACCAACGTATATGTCAATAAATTATTATTATTATAAGGCTAAATATTACAAATTGTTCGAAAAAAATGATTGAAATTAAATTGTTTGAACTTAACTCTGTTCACAATTAATTGTAATAACTTATTATTCTATGGAACATTGATAATTGGTGCGTTTATTCCCTTTGAAATAATTAATGAAGCTCTTGGGAGAGTTGGATCGTGTTTCCGATATATGTTGCTTAGTTTAATTAAGTAGGTATTTTAGTAATGAAAATATTGCGTATAACTAATTTATAATCGATTTTGTTTCTCGTGACTTGTTAATACTACGGGTGTACTCAAAATACTGCACGGATGGCATAGTGGTTTAAGCGGTCGCGCACGCTGAATGTTGTGGGTCCGATCCCCACATGGGTCACCACTTTGTGTGATCCACAAATTGTTGTTCTGAGTCTGGGTGTACTTTGTGTCCGTTTCATGTATGTTTGTAAAGTCCCCCGCTACACAGGATATATATTCCTAATGCGGGAGTTGTCTTTTTCCAAAAAAAAGAAAAGAAAGAAACATTGGACATTTTAGGGAATAGATAGGAAAATCTTATGTCCAACATAAACGTACATAAGAAATGTTGATAGTTTTGATATCAATTGGCATGACCAATATGGAGCCTCTTTTTTTTTTTCCATGCGGAAATCCCCTCGGATACCACCGGATATCGGTGGCATGTCGGACTCGAACCGACTAAAACCGCACGCCGTCTCGGGTACTATGGAGCCTAAAAACAGTAGAGATTTATAGTTTGGAAAATATGTCGTTCATTAAATCACTTCAGTCAATGAAGATTCAATTCTAACCTTTATTATAAACAGTTATACATATTAAATGGTGATACATTTACCAATTAGGCGTAATTGGATAAATTTGAGTAGCCTTTTGGCCGGTCACAAAATAAGCTGGTTCCAAAACTGAAATAATAAGCGATTCTGGTCACGTAACGAACGTTGTTACCCTAAAAGGGTGAAATGTAAAAAATGCGACGTTAGTACGTTGACAGCCAACATCGTTATTTTCTCGTTTCATTTTAAGATTTTCGCCTCGTAACAGCGTATCAGATTTTTGATAATATGATCCGTCATTAATAAAATACAAAGTGTATTTATCTGTATTTCAGGTAATAGCTGAAAATATTTATTCTGTTTATCGTAGTTTGGTTCATAGTGTTAATCCATATCCAGTTCATACATGTACATACAAAAACCTATATTATCACAAAAAATTGAACATGCAGTAATTACGATAAGTTTACATGGCCTATGCAACTACATACAAAAGTTGAAAATGCTGCATTACATTCTATGAGTATCATAAAATCTTAGAACTATATTAATAAATGTCAAGCTCACTTCTAAAATGTAGTTCCTAAAAAGAGCGAAGTGTTACTTCTTTACAGACCAATGGTTACTTCTGTACAAGTTGTAAGTTCGTTCATTTGAAAAATTTAAAAGCCATTTGAAGATTATTTAAGTGGTGCGGAAAAGCTCATTTAAGTTTGTTTTTGAGTCCATGTATTACATTGGGTTGATTGTGCTAAATCTGGGTTAAAATTGAGAGAAAAGCGGTATCCGTTATGCCTTTTAATTTTAAAGAATACAAGAATACTTTTTTACACAAGAATGTATGTTAGTAATGTGATGTAAGTGTAATTTTATCACGTGGTATCT